GGCCCACTGAGCTATACATTTATTTTTTCAGAAGCGACCTGGCCACAAATGATGGCTCAACGAGATGGCTTATCATGTGGAAATGTATATCAGCCAAATACTCTCAATGCATGTTTCTATGTATACTGTATATATACTCTACACTGTAATCATAATATTTTAACTATAGTGGATCTATACATCTCTTGCCTTAAATGTATCAAATTGTATGAAAAGTTAGAGAGAAATCGTACACTGTGTTGAATTCAACACGATCAATATGTATCCACGTGATGTCCAGTATACCACGAATGAAGGAGTACCTGCACACCAGCGTGCACACAATCACCAGCAGCCAACGCCACCTGCGTTTTTACGATAAGCATGCTGAAAAAGATGCGCGGCAACTGGGTAAAGGTGCACCCAGAATTTGTCTCAATCTCTTGCCATATGAGTCTCAGTAATCAGAACCTGGGGGGGAGGCGCACCCCCTCCACCGCCACCTCATTTGGGAGCGTTGCCCACATTGGAACCGTCACACTACATCCTCGTGAGTGGGTAGAGCCATTGAAATGTTTTCCATCTGGGACTGAAAAACCATCGAAGTAACTGCTTGACATTGAACCTAAAGTATTCCTCCCCTTGCAAAAGTGCTCTTATGTGCGTATAATTAGGTTGCAGCTATCACCTCTGGAATGCAAATGCACTGTACAAAAGCATAAGACACCATTAAAATATATTTTAAATCCAGTGAATGTCCGCCTCTGTTTAGTCCCTGTAACTTCAATAAGGTGTCTGTGCCAGGCAAGTTGAACTCTTAAGGCCAAATAGTGTGGTGACAGCTTGCTGAGAAGGGGTCACAGGACAAACTCAGGTCTTGTAGACTTACACGGTGATGCAGCTACTATATGCATGAACTTAGCCCTATAAAGTATTCATACAATGTCCCATTTGAGAAGTATGGCAGTACGTTCACTAGTGTAAGCTTCGCTTATATATTTTCTCCCGTGGCTGCTGGAGGCAAACTGTTGCCATCATTTCAGTGGTATCACTCAGAAGCCTCTAATGAACAAGATTCTGCTTTTAGAAGCCAGCAACAGTAGGTTCCTTAATCTCCAACCCCACTTCTTCTGTGTCTGTCTTCTACAGCCCTTTATTGTGTTCCCAAGACTAAAAGAACACATACACTGATGCTTATTTCTGTTGGGAGTACCGAACGGCTGGTGAAATCCTGCATTCTTATATTGTAGTGTCCATAAGACAACAACTGTTGACTGTCAACAAAGTAATATCCATTTTAGAGGCTTCAAAAGGATGATCGGCTGAGTTGATCCACACCTGGGATTTGAACCCATGTAGTTATGATGCCAAGCTGAGTACGCTGCCACAGTGCTGTTATTTGAGCCCCTTTTTTGGTCTGCTCGACTGAAAAAGCTAATTGGGCAAGTTGTAAAAAATAAATAACGTTTCAAAATGTATTACCTCAGCGGATAATGTATTTTATTTTTACAATATGTTTGTTACTTTTTGACATAGTATGTAAAATGGACCTGTTGTTCTATAAATTAGATTTTTGTTCCAATATAACAATTCCTGTATCAGTTTGGACAGGGAGCAGTGCAGTGTGCCAGGTCATCACCACACAGTTACTTTCATCAGACTGTATTTATTTTTACAGCCATTTGTAAATGCACACATTGGTCATGGGGCTTGTTTGACCATACTTCACCGTGCTGGTCAGGGTGCTTTGCTCAATGGCTGGTCGGCCCAGGACCAGGTAACTAAACGAAACTATTTTTAATTTTACCAGGTAAGGCCCACTGAGCTATGTATCTCTTTTTCAGAAGCGACCTGGCCACAAATGATAGCTCAACGAAGTGGCTTATCATGTGGAAATTTCTAGCAGCCAAATACTCTAAATACATGTTTCTAAATGTGGAAGGAAAAGCCAGGGAAAAATCCACGCGACCAGGGGAAGAACATTAAAACTCCAAATATACAGCAGCAGGCGCTAGGTCAGGATCGACCCACGACCTCCTGTATACCAGGCGTGGGAGATAACATCTCGCCACCGTGGCGCCCCTGATTCCAATTGTCACTGATGTTAGTCGTGGTCAGGAGTAAAACTTCTGTATTTTTGGTAAATGAGCACAGATTAATATTTCGCCAAAATGAGTGAATATTCAGTGATACAATGTTTTTTTCACATTGAATTGTATCATATGTAAAATGGCAGATAAGTTCAATGTATCGTTTAAAATTAAGTGAAATGAGAATCTTGCTAGCAGGGGTCATGTAAAACGTCACATTTAATTACGGAAGCTCTGCGACATTTACGAAATTCTTTAACGGCATGTTATGCCATTGAGTAAATGTTCATGGCAATGAATGGTTCATTATCTGCAGCAAACACACGCATTTAAACTATTTGAATGAACAATGCATGGGTCACTTTATTTAAACTGTAAATATAACGGGCCTTGGTTGGTAACAGAGTCCTTTTGACATCTGTCGGGACAAACACAAGCAAAATTGTTAATTATTTTCTGTCTGAGTGATCTGTTAGTAGATCAAATAGCTGAAGATCTGGAGAGGGTGTTTTGACAAAAGCTATAACTACTCTTAAATAATATTTACGCAGAGTTTAATTTGTCTCAGGCAAAAATGTGGTACCAACTGAGACACCCTAAGCAACACATGTTCGGCGGTGAGAGAAATGGAGTATGAAAATGTATTCACAAACACATAACGCCATTTGCAAGCTGATCTTAAGGAAGTGTCCTTCAGAGAAAACTGTGCTCGTTATTCACTTTTATAATGTACTTAAATGCATTACATATTTCATGAATATCACATCGATAGTGTCTGATTTCATAACAAGTCTAAGTCTCTCCCGCTGCTATGAATGTACGATGAAGGTGCTTCAGTAAGTGTTTGGACCTTCACATCCTGAGCAAGTTACATATTGCCAATCGGCGTGGCTTTAGCTCCTCTCGAATGGGGGGGGGGGGGGGGGCAGGAGAGCTATTGTGAGAGAGGCTACCCATACCAATGATCGCCGATCTGCATTGGCTTCCAGTTGCCGAACAATAGGTAAGGTCGTACTCATTACACACAAGGTGCTTGCCACAAATGAGCCACAATACCTTTATGATCTCGTCAAGGAACATAAACCATAATACGCAGCGGATCTTTGGCTAGTCATCTAAAGATGGTCACGGAATCGCGCGCTTTCAGATGTGTTTCTGCGGCCGTCTGGAACGCTCTTCTGATATTCGGAAGCCACTGGAGCTATGCACTTTTAAATCTAGATTGAAAACTAATTTATTTAAAACTGTTTGTTGTGTTTAGTTGGTTGTCCTTCCTCAACAACTATTATTAGCACGGTTGGCTATGTACGGTACGAAAAAAGCTTAACATACATACGAGTGATAAACCGCTTAGGAGAGTGAACTTGGGTGTTCCAGAGGGGGAATTTGGATGGGGCAGGGAGCACCCCAGCACCCCTTCTAGCCAAGCACTCTCCCTGATTGCCAATACAGTCGTCACATATTCCATATCAAGATGTTGAAACGTGGTGTGCTCATTCTGCAGTTAAGCGATTACCCCTAATGCAAGCACCGACACACTAACCGTGCATAACAATTGACTCGAGAGTACTCCGAAATTAAAGCGCCTTTAATATCTATCATATGCAGTATTTATTATCACCTTGGAAAAAGTTTACACCAGTGCTTATAATTACATGAACACTGTGTGCAGGACAGACGCATTAATAATTAATTTAACAATCCCCTCCACCACTTGGTTTGTATATGTACATCTTATTTTCTGAGTTTCTGTCCGCATTACCCCCACGAGTAAGTGCCACCATATGGCATTACAGATTGCATCAATTGTGCAAGCTGTTTGCAGTGTTGAGTAGTGGTACTTGTATAAAAAGTTCCTCTCTGTTCACAAGCTGAAATCCATTCAATTAGCATGCAGATTACCAAAGTCACGCAATGCATGTGGATCTCTTAAATCAAAGCACTTTTTCATCCACTGTCCCCAGACTGCCAAACATTATATCACACCCTTCGCAAACCAATGTATATCAAAGTTAATTACATGAAAGTGTCACAGCTCAAGGATTTGCAAGGTTGTACACAAACTCATTTGATTGTTCTATCTTCATCTACATTACTTTGATTTGTTTACTCGAGTGGCATTGCACCACGGAACATGTACAAGTACAGCCGTTGAACGATCCACTGCTGAGTAAGGACCTTCCCGGCCCATGCGGAGTATGGGGGCTATTTGACCATACTTCACTGTACTAGTCAGTGGAGGTGGAGAGCATAGATGTACAGGGCAACAATTGATTTTGCTGCACTGCTTCTGCTGCCAAAAGCGTAGCCACGCAGAAGCCTATAGCACCTGTGTTATACACGGTGGTGGTTGCCCATTCAAGCACCGTCCAGGTTCAAAATCGCTTAGCTTTCAAGATCTAATTAAATCGGGCATTCCCTGGGTGATTTGGCCATAGGTTCATCACTTTACTTCGCTCCATAGTGATTGTATTGATATGAAATTTTGCATTGGGTAGTTTTTTTTTTAAAATGTTCTAATAGCAAAACGTACAAAAATGTAACGTGAACGATTTATTTCGAAATAAAATTGTACCTTTTCAAACATTTGTAAGAATGTGCACATTTGTCTTAAACCTTCATTTGTCTAAAAAGGGTTAACAGCACGTTCGACCAACCTAATAGTATAGGTACAATATCTGAGCATGCAGCAAAAACTTTGATAAACATCTCACACACTTTTCCATTCATGAATATTATACCATTTTATTTGCTTAATTTTGAGCTCAATTGTCCACGCACTTACTGTGGCCTTTATTAATAAAAACAGCATCAACACATACCCAATATCTCTCAATAATGTAGCACTCACACACGCAGGATCTCAACAATTATTAACACGCACACGCGCGCGCGCAACACAAGAGTAGAGATCGTCGCTCGAGCGTTTACCGGCTCTGTGTTGCCACCTCTGCAGAGGGGTCCACGGAACACCCCCTTGATGTTGCGGAAGTGACCATTGCTCAGATGCGGGGAGCTGATGACAAGGTAGTAGCAAGCCATGCTGCAGGCGTGATAAGGAGCTGAGAAGACCAGGAAGGGCTAAGAAGCACCTGGAGCGTCACACTTTAAACACAGTTCTGTACTTTGCAGCCGACGGCGTAGGACGTAAAACATCGATCGCGTGAATCCGTCAACACTGACCGAGTTGTCCTAAATTACATCGTGAGCAACTATTACGGATGCATGCTCAAAATCCATTCTTCGTTAAGCCCCTATTACTTAGCACTAATGCTTCCCAGAAAGTGACGCTCCCTCTCTCAGTCGCACAATCCGGCTGTGAGCTGCCTCCGACTGGCTGTCTCGGGGACAGCCGGGTCTCCAGGCAAATCGAGACGCAGCTGTCGATGTTACACGTCTGCATTCCCTTCACACATCCTGCTGCCAATCCCTTCACTGTCACTCAAGTCAATGCGTTAACCGTACATATGCCGGTAAAGCGAGCAGCTTCTCTTGCTCTCAGAAAGCTGATCTGCATACACTTAAACGCCCCACAGCAGTTTAAAGTAATAACAGTCTCTCTACCGAAAGGGCAATGCGAGACATTAAAAGCACGTCTGGAAAAAAAGTGGTGAATCAAAGGCATACTCGCTTGGAATTCTAACGCTGGCTATTTTGCTCTTTTAAACAGGAGGGAGAGCTTCAGACAGCCTTGCTATCTGCAGTGGCTCCCTGCCTCCGTCTGTCCGTTCTCCGTTGCGCGTGAATCACTGTGGAACGCACGCTGCAGGCTTCTTCTATAAGGGCTGCTGGGTTTTTTTTTTTAGGACCGTGAAATCAAGTTGCCTCATTTGCTGTAGAGATGGTCACATGGGAGCAAGCCCAGCTCAGCTAAACAGCCAGTCTGAGATACTGGCAATGCGTGGTCTGGGAGCATGCTGCTGCTGTTGCTGCTGCTGCCTGTGAACGTCTGCACGTGGCTTTCTTTGCGTGTTCGCCGTGTATGCGCGTAATGTGCGTGCGTGATTGCGCGCGCCGGCGTGCGCGTGCGTGAATTTCATCGTCGACATAGGGCAACTTAGCTCCGATTCAATCAGATTTTTTTTTATAAAGGTTAACCTAAATCTACTGAGGCGGGGGGAGGGGGGATAGAAACCAGAGCTTTTATTTATACAAATGTCTTGATTAGCATCGAATAAATTACGAATTGCAAATACGATTGAAATGTCATTATCATCACATGGTTCAACGCATAAGTGGCAATCTCCAGCATGACGCACTCGACAATGTGAACAGACAACCGCACCACAATGTAGAAATGTAGGAAGCGAATTTGCCAGCTGCCTCAATCATAACAATGAGACACATGCTGCCCAGTAGTGGAAACTGTGCTCAAAATGAACCTGACGTGGGCACAGCGTGAGCTCCATCACATTACTGCGCAGATGGGGTGGGAAGGGGGACAGAGCAATGGAACGCGCGGCATATGCATAATGTGGTTATTCTAGTAAATAACTTTCCGCTCGGTTCGATAAACCAGTTGTAAAAGATGAGTGGAGAAGTAGCATTGTTGGAAAGATAGATAATTCCTAGAGCCTTGCCTGACAGACAGTCTTATACGGAATGGGGGGATGACAGAGAGAATGAAAGTCAAACAGACTGAAAGGCAGGCAACCAAATAAACAAAACAACACACACATGTCCAAGAAGCGCAATTGCATACTTGCGTTCGCACGTGCACACAAACACCCTGTGCGGCAGGCGGCACGGCGTAATGGGAAAAGGTGGCGTTTCATGGCAGGGTTGAAGCGAGGGTGGTGACCAAAGCAGCCAAACCTGTTAAGCCCAGGTAATGAATTACATCCCAAGCCTGCTCATCTGCACCCACCCACATCTCCACTCCATCAGCCAAGCAAAGGCAGCCTCGCATACATCTTTGCTGTCAATCTCCTGGCCGTCTCACTCTAAATCCTTGAAGGGTGGTGTCGGGGTGGGGGGGTGTTTTACTTTAGCGGGACAAGGGGTGGGGAGCAAATCATAGAGCATGTGTGCGGGGCGAAAAACAGGTCGCCACTCCGATCATTAGCAATCCCTTACACGAGGACAGATATATTATCGACCAATAGTTTGGGCAAAGGTCCTTCAGCTGAGAAAGGCCGTTGCCGAAACATTGGCCTTCTGTATTGTCTTTTTGTTGTAAGGCAGTGTAAATGATGAAGGTTTAGGGGCATTTGTTTTCGCCCGTATTTGTACATCACTGCTAGCACAGGCCCTGAAGTTCCATACGTATGTCTGTAGAATTGTGTACATTTGGCAAAAATGCTGGTTTAAACATAAATTTGAGAATTTTGCTTTGAACAATTTCAAAAAAATAATTCCACGCAGATCAGATAATCTGATGAGTGAACATTGGTGATACATCAATCCTTAACCACTTACACATTCGAACTTGATTGCATTTCAAAAATCCTGCTTTAAATGTGTCAGCCTACATTTAAAAATTTCAAATTGTAATTCTGTTTCCAGAGAATTCACCATATGGTGGTGCACCATATAAACAATGATGAGGATACGACACACAACATCCATGTTCCAATGCGACCAGCAACTGTATGCAACATATCGAGTATTGCTTCATGAAACTTACCTGTATCTTTGCAACACTGGGCGTATGTGTATTTATATAGTGAAGAAAATCTATACCTTACACAGGATGAGGAGCACCAATTGCTTCACTGGTGTAAATGTTCCCACTGAGATAGTACACAGCTTGCTTGGGTTTAAAGTGTAAGGTCCAGGACTTATTATAGCACCTGGACACTGCACTTCGTCTTGGAGTGGGTCGAGTAACAAATAGTTTGTGTCACTGCTACACAGACCTCCTGTCACCACATATTGGCTCGGCATTGGTAGATGTTTGTTTGCTGGTCTTGTGGATGTGCGACACTGTTGATAGACAACAATTTATCTCCAAAATTATTCAGGATGGCTTTTGTGTAAAGCTTCGGTGTGATGTCTTGCCCGGTATATCGTTACATTAATATACAGCACACAGATACGGTGCAACATTATTAACATTAATAGAAACACGGTGACTTTGCAAACGCGTTGCTATAAATTGTAACCTTTGTTTTGGACATGAATTCCCTGTTTAAATGTCAAGCGTGAGTGTGGAAGCAAATGGGAAAGTCCATACAAATGCTGCCCATGCACTCTATAAATTGTGGCGAATTCATTTATTCAGGTGCTTTTTTTACGTACTCGATCAGAAATACCACGTTTCCTCCACAATTTACACAATTTAACATTCCACTAAAAATAAGTAAATTACATTAAAATTATTTAAATAGATTATTTATACTTGGAAACATGTTATACCGGTGCCGAAAAAAATAACACCTCCGATTAGTACGGTTCGCTACGTACGGTGTGTAAGAAGTTCAACATACATACATACAACAAGTAATAACACGTGAACCTAGTGAAATAACTAACAGTTCACAAAGTGTGAGTAACATATGGTGGGCCACTCCTTCAATGTTCTGACCTGCATAGCATATGAACCAGCTAAATGAGGGATGTAACATTGTCAACAAACTGCAGAAGAGATGGAAATTTAAAGCACCTAACTACAGCACTTAAATGTGAACCGAATGTACGGAGCACTTATTAAGTAGCTTTACGTGTAACCGCTTAAATGACGTTTCAGAGCCACTGCTTGCAGGACATTTACCGGACAAAAGCGACAACACAAATATAATATTCAGGATTTGAAGTTTTCGCGACTGCAGGGATCCATACTCTTTGGTTCTTTTGGTAAAGTCACGTAGGTATAAAAATAACAAAATAAATCACGACGTTTCCATCGCAACACAAGCAATCATCATCAGGTGGGAAAACCGCAGCAAGAAAATTTAATATTGTGAATGTTTGCACGAATAATACGATGGCGTGAGTATGAAACGCTTGTTAAAATATAAAATACAGAACCTTCCATTGACGCATTCTGCATGAATTATCAGCCAATTACGTTTAAGTTTCCTTCACATGTCCACCTCCCCACCCACCCCACCCCCCTCACAGCAGATGTCACAAGGACCTGTGCCATCGCACGTGATGAGCCAATCGCATGTGTGGCCTTTTTTGACCCTATCGTTTGCTTGTGGAAATGATTGTCCTGCATAAAAAAAAACCGAAATGATTGTCCTGCATAAAAAAAACCGAGTAAGCCGTCAATGTGCCGCCTATTTATGAAACTGCATTTTCATTGCATCGCTGGAAAAGATAATTAATATTCAAAATGTCTTGACAAAATATGTATAATTTTTTTGCAGATACGCCTGCAGACAGATGCATAATTGCCCTTTACCTCCTCAAGATGATTGTTTACGTTGCATATTACAGGTTGATTTTGAATTGAGCCTGTAATAAATTACACATCAGCTGTCATCGGGATCCGCTCGTGTTCCACTGCGGTGGCAACGCTCAGCTCTGAGGCAAAGGGGCAGCTGCCCACCCTGAGAAGAGCACCGACCCCCTGTCACCTACCCCACTGAAGGCCTTTTGATGCAGTACTTATCATTTTAGAGACATACTGTGCTCCCACTCTAGTTTCAACAACAAATAAAGCTTGGCAGAAGACAGGCCGAAGGCACCATGAGGTTCAGTGGACATACATAAAACTCACTGGGCCAGCCTAAGGCATCCTGAGGAATCAACATGCCAAAGGCACACTGAAGCACCTTTTGAATTCTTAAGGTTCACTGACGATGTCCACGTTTCATAGAGCCAAACTGTTCAACCCTTGGGCTTTCTGGGAAAACAAAAATGCACAATGCATGGCAGTACAACTATGCAGAACATTTATTACAAAAGCTCGGGATTATATTCTTGCCATATTATGAAGAGTAACAAAAATGTTGTATTGTGCGTCATTCGTGTGTTATCTGTTTGCTTAAAATAACCAACAATATTTTCTAATCATACTGTAGTATACATTTGATATTTATGTTTCTATTCTTTGTCAATGTCTATGTTTCTTTCATGATGCAGTTTATTTTTTCCAAAATGCGCCCCAAATGTATCTCATCCGCCTCTTTATTTAATTATAAATCAGCTTGTGTGCACGAAATACACCACGGGTGGTGGCAAAGGCTAGGAGAGGCCTTCATCCAGCAGTCAATATATCATGGCTGCTGATAATCATGATTATTATGCTTGGTTCTTTCGGTAAAGTCACGTAGATAGAAAAAAAGTATAAATTTAAAATAATAAAAGCCTGATGAAGACCGCTTGTGTTGTGATGGAAACGTCGTGGGTTTTTTGCTTTTATTATTTTCAATTTATATTTCCTATTTTATTGTGTTTTTTTTTGCTTTTATTATATATTTTTTATTGTTTAAAATTTTCATTTTCCTTTATTTTATTTTTTTTATTTTAGTTTTCTATCTGCGTGACTTTACCGAAAGAACCAAGAATATGAATTCCTGCAGTCACGAAAGTTTTAAGTAAAAAAAAATGATGATTATTCTTTGGTTCTTTTGGTAAAGTTACATAGAAATAAATTCAATGAAATAATAATAGAATACGACGTTTTGATTGCAACACAAGCAACCATCATCAGGTACAAATGAATGAGAAAACAAACAGTAAACTTGGAAATATAATGCAATACAACACAGAGAATCGGCCAACAGAACATTCAACACCCCACCTGGTTGGTTACGTTCTTCCAAAGATTGATAAAGTTGAGAGAGAGAGACAAAACATAGACACGGAGACACACAGACAGACACACAAGCAGAGAGAGACTCACACAGAGACAAACAGAGAGAGGCACACAACATAGACACACAGAAAGACAACGTCTCCGTGACTTTACCGAAAGAACCTACGAGTAATTCCTGCAGTCACGAAAGCTTCGAATCGAGTTTGAACCACCTCTACGGGGAGGGTTTGCCGTGCTTGTTTATGAGTGCATTCTCTCCTCCGACCTCTATGGGCAGGAATTCCA